TGCACGTCGTCGCTGTTCACTGTGCACGTACGCTGCACCCTGCACGCTGCACGCTGCACGCCATTTTTCCTACCTAATTTGCCTTACTTCACCTTAATTAGTGATTTGGGCTCAATAGGCCCAATTTGTCCAAGCCCACATATGGGCTGGACCCAACACCAACCTGTGCCTTGAATCGATGACCTGCATCCCTCAATAAGGGATCATTACTCATTGATGGGCCCCCCTCAGGAGTAAGGGAGTTGGGACACTTGATCTTCACACCAAAATAACAATGGAAGGTTGGAACGCGTGACCTCTGTATCTCAATAAGAGATCACTACTTACCGACAGGCCCTCATCAACAGCAGATCAAACCTTGCCAACATGAACCAAACCCTCTTTCGGGCGTAGAGATGGGCAATGATAAGGGTTAGTCTCTTGACCTCTATGGCTCTGCAATGAAGAAAGCAAGGGATCGGTTTCCTATCTTTTCGTCACTCTTAGTCATCGCTATCTTGGTTACCTTCTTGAACCTTCAACCTTGTGGAAAAGACAATAGCACTCTTGTTCATTGCCTCTTTGGCCCACCATAGGGTTCAATAATCCATTTTTAAGAGCTTTGTGTAATATCGTCATCAAGGTCATGGTCGTTGATGGTATAGACATCCTTGACCACTTTCAGAGAGCCAATAGAGTGCTACAATAATAGGAGTCATAGTGTCGAGTCGATTTCTCGACCTCTGCATCTTGACAGCAAAGAGGGGGAAGGGGAGGGGAAGGGGGGAGGTTGGGTGGTCGGCTACTTGACCCCCCTAACTAGGGTAGAGGAAGGCATGTTTTAGCCCAAGGTGCCCATATCAGTCTATTTTTGCCTCGAGCTACAAAGCTTCCCATCGTTGAGGGACACATCTTGGGCAGGCGAGGTATGCTGCCTAAGATGCCCATCGGATCATAGTGAGTGCTATAGTGAACTACAATGAGCGAGCAAAGTGGGTCCACAAGCAGCGATAAGAATCGCGGGTGATGCTAGCGATGACGTGGGCTACGATGAGGACTGTAGACAAAGGGTGCGAGCACTACTAGCAGTGATACAATAGGTGGATGGCAATCGACCTAAAGTGAGGTCCACTAGCACTTCCCCCTTTAATTATTGAAGCTTTTATCGCATCTCCTCCAACCGTTAGTCCATCTACCATAGTTGGATCCATTAGAAATCCTCCGTCAAGTCTGTTGACTGGACCTTTAATTCAGGCAAGGCCGAGTGACGGTGTGGTCTGTTGAATTCTATGATTGGGGATCAAAGCGCCCTCTTGGCCAATGGTTTGATAGGTCTGAAGTGCTCTTGGGATATCATTGCCATATGGGGTAGGGGAACCTTGATCGAAGTTGGTGGCGGTTGAGCCGAGGATCATGGTTATGTTGGTGGCACTGTTTGTTGGGCTAACTATGACAAAAGTGGAGCGATGACTTATATCATGTATGTTCCCGTCTACACTTACTGAGTACAGATTAAGAATACCTTGATGGGGATGAATAGGTGGCTCGAAGTCATCCCTAGAAGGGGAGTGAGAGACCCAGGCCATTGATTACACATTAGTATATTATCAGTGTCAGTGCTAAGGTGGATGCACTAATGTGTGAAAAGGGCAACTACTATCCCATTGAGTGAAAGTATTATTGGGTCGGGAGCAAAGCCTCTTTGCTTGAGTATTCATCGAGGGAGTCAACGAGCAGGCACTCCTACGACACAAGTCCTTCTTCTAGTGCCAAAATGTTACGAGAATATGTTGGCATCATGGTCAATTCGATGTGATTTAGACTTGTCAGTGATATGATTTGATGGGCCTTTTATGATTGATCTAGTTTTAAATAATATTTCATGTGTGAAATATTTCAAGAACATTTTATTTAGTGATGATGTTGGTCTGATGGTTGGTCGGAGGCTTTAGCCTCCACCTCACATGACTGGCTTTGACTGAAGTGAACATTTCTCCGATCATATTCTCACAACTGATTCACTTTTTATGACTTCTTATGTCAAGGTTTCAAGCTATCCTTTCATGTGGAGATCCCTAATTCTAAGTAAATTTATCTGGTCTTGTTTGAGACGCCATGCATGAGCTGCAAAAGCCTGCAAAAGTTCCAATAATATCACTAGATATTAAGGTTTATTTGACTGGTACACGAGACACGACATTAGAAGGACAACTTATCCCTTCTGCATGTTGCATGCTCCTACTTGCAGCAGTCTCAGTTGGTCTTCCTGCAGTTGAGCCTGACCTCGCCGTCGGTGCCGGTGAGAGGACTTATGTTCCCCATCTTCACCATTGCAGCAGCGAAGTCGCTGAAGAACCTGGCCGTGTTCGTGGAATAGGTGGTGACGAGGGAGTCGGTGGATCCTCCACTGAACAGCTGCTGGTCCGAGTGCAGCAGGCCCTTCTTCTTCACCAAGTTCCTGAAGTAGAAGTTGTCGAAGAGCGTGCAGGTGACGGCGTCAAGGGGCGACAAGTTGTCGTCGCCGTCGCCGGAGCTGGGGCAGTTGGACTGGCGGGAGGTGGCCAGTGAGGAGTCGATGCTCGTCTCGTTGTAGATCCTGTCCCGGAACGAGATGCACCTCGCCTGCCCGATCGTGTGTGCTCCTGTGGCATGTCGATGTCATCAAAGCATGAGGCACACAGCATACTGTTTGATGGTGATTACTCAGTTTCAGATCCTCCAATCGATCACCTGAGAGCGCCACCATGTCAGTGGTGCCGAGACCCTTCTTGGAGTAGGCGGATATCAGATCATCCAGGTCCGATTTGGGCGATGGAATCTCGGTGTTCGCAGCATCCAAGCTCGCAGTTGTTGCATCCCTTCTTCCCAGTTGCACCGTCCATAAAGGACCGCCGAGCTGTAAAGGAACTCCGATCTTAACCACGGAGTTGGATCAAACAAAGGACGCATGGTGAAGGGGATGACTCTTACAGCGGCGACGGACTCTCGAGCTGCCACCGCGAGGATGTCAGCGCAGGACACTACTTGCTTGCAGACGGCCTCAACCTGGGATTTGATGTTGTCGATGACGTCGAAGCCTCGCAAGGAGTTGTTGTTGGGGACTGCAGTCTTCTCTCCGGTGAAGCCGGACGTGTCATCCAGCAGAACTGATCCATCACAGCCCTGTTTGTGATCATCAACCACATCAGCTCATTCTAATTAACCTGTTTGTGAATGTAGTGAATGGATTCCTGTAGCTGCGTAAACTCGTAATCCTCATATCAACGTGGAGGAAAAGAAGAGGCACGTACGTACACGAGGCAAAATCTCATGTCACCACGTACCAAAATGAAGACATCAACATGAATAAGCTTCATGAACAGATTGCTATTCTAACAAGAAGAAAAGCATGAGTTCGGGTGAGACTTGCATTAACAAAGCAGTCATGGAAATGGAGGCGGAGTAGTGACGCTCCCATGCGGGCCTCTTTGGCAACAGCAGCCCTCACAGCAAGCCGAATGGTTTGGATAGCAAGAGGGCATGAGGTGCTATAGAAAGTCGATGACAACTGAGCAGAAGCAATGGCTGCAAAGAAGAAGAACGCTAGCAAACAAGAAGGAGGGTGGATGCAGGCCATTGTTGCAGAAGAAGGAAGAGTTGAGCAACCTGATACTGTGGAAACGTGGTGCACAAAGCCTGGGTATTTATAAGCAAAAGCTCAGAGATAGAGAGAGAGAGAGAGTAGTGAGGGCAGGTTTGGCTGATGGTCCACTCACTCAAAGCTCAACATCACCTACCGCAGGGCACAATCAAAGCTCTCAAGAATCGTAGGCAGATAAGGTGATGTACCACCCACTTATTGCAGCAAGCTTTGGTTCCTGCAGCAAACATCTTTAGATTTGCTGCATATTTATGTGGCTTTAAGCACGGAAGGATTATACTTAACTTGATGCATGACACAGATAGTGGATTAGGTGAATGGAGAAGACAAGTCACAACCATTTATCCATGACATTCTTCAGAAATCTGGAGCAATATATGCACCTTTTGAAAGGTCAAAATCTCCAACTCAGTGGCTTGAAGCAAATGCGGTTCTGTTCTTAATTCTTTGCATGCCACACTTTTGAACTCTTTTTATGGTCAAAATTTCAAGACTCAATAGATGACATATATAATTCAGCAAATGGAGTGGTTGAGTCGGGAGATTCTCTTTCTTGAATGGAAGAAACTTTGTACGTGGAAGGATTTTGACCGAAGCATCTCACTTTGGTCAACAAACTCATGCGCACTGTGCTTACTCGCAGCTGCAGTGATGCATAGTGGCTTCCATTTGCATGTCCCCCAAACTTGGAACCTTCTCAAGCTCGTCAATACCATTAATTAGCTGTCTTCAATTAGCATGTTGAAGCCTTACGATTCTTGAATTCACTTCTTTGTATGTTGGCGTTGGTGAAAGGTTACACGAAGGTTATTGCTTTTGACTTTGCTTGCCAAAGTCGATGCACGCTTGAAGGCACTTCCAGTCACAGGGATTTGACGACGAAGTGTGCCTCCTTTTGACTGCCCTTTCCTTCTAATCTCTCTCACTTGCTGTATAGAAGAATAAAAGCCAAAGAGATCATGCGAGGCTGTGGAATTAACCGATATTTTATCACTGTTTATTAGGTCATGTCGATCTTGAATCTCAAAATGAAGTTAATTGAAGTGTTAATCCTGTGGCCGATGCACTTGCAAACCAATCATTCAGATCGCAGATCGATGACTTATTCCTATATATCGAAGTCTGAAAGAACTACAAGAGATATATATTGTGAAACTTCAGCAAACATAGCATGGTGCTTTATTTCTCGGGCCACAGAGGGAGACTCCGCGATCTTTCTAGACCTCGTCATCCCACAGTTCAGCCACACTCTTGTATGGCCCCTCACTCTTGTTCACAAAGGTCTCCTCTCCGGACACAGTTCTCCTCTGCAGCACCAACAATGCTCGCATGAATCATAATCCTTTTATTAGAAGCGTACATCAAAGGAAATATGATCTCTGGTTACCTGGTCACGTATGCTATTCAAAGCTTCCAAGTCTTCTTGAGGGATTGCCCACCCAAACAACTGTATGTTTCCTTTGATCCTATCGGCATTCGTCGACTTCGGAATAACGCTGGTACCTCTTTGCAACCCCCATTTTAGCAGCACCTGCCCAGGGGTCTTGTTGAGCTTCTTGGATACCTGCATTAATGGTGATTCAGATGAGTACAGCTTGGTCCAGCTGCATCATCTTGTATTAATGAGAAATAACAGATCGAGGTGTTTCACCGTCACTACTGTTGGATCGTGTATGAGGTCTCGATCACTTCTCGAAGATCCCAGTGGAGAGTAAGCCTGCAAGTAGGAGATCAGTTAGTGGTGTATGCGGCTGAAATCCTCAAGGGAGTTGAGGATTCCTTACGGTGACATGGATCCCATTGTTCTTGCAGGCCTCGAGTATCTTATCGTTCCTCCAGCCCGGGTGCATCTCCATCTGTCCTCGAAGCAAAGATGAGATGAGAAGGGAGAAAAGAGATGGAATTGAGCATGCATGGTTTGTGCTACTCTTGCACAGCATCTGTTGGCTTTACCTGGCACACGGAGGGCATGATTTGGGCACATTGAAGCAGCTTGTTGAGCTTCTTTGAGGTGAAATTGCTGACTCCAATGTCCCTGACGAGTCCATCTTTCACCAGCTTCTCCATTTCTCGCCACACTCCCTCCATGTCGAAGTCTAGTATGTCAGATGCTCGTGGAGGCCTTGTTGCACCTTCCTTGAGGTGAAATGGCCAGTGAATCTGCCATAAAAAGAGTTGCTGTCATACCTGGAACTGATGATTGACCAGTTTATCCCAGCTAAATTATCATTGTTTTACGATTATGATCATCATATATATGCTGTGACAACCTAACATCATGTTGTCTTCCCCTAGGCATCCTGGTGGGGAAGCAACTCAATCCTAATATATGTGGTCTTCAGCATCGCAAGTATGCAGGCTTACCAGATAAAGGTCGAGGTATTCAAGCTGCAGCTCTTTTAGGGTTTGCTTCAGTGCATTTCGAACTCTATCAGGAGAAAGATCTGTGCACCTGCACCACATAGAGCACATGATTGACGTCTGATTCCCTTAAAACAAGTATCTGATAGTTTTCATCTGTTGCATGTCGATTCCAATCCTTATCTGTTGTCAGTAGATTAGGAAAAGTGAGGTTGGAGGACATGCCACAACTTTGATGTGATGAACAGGTCGTTTCTTGGTATCCCTGCTTGCAAAGCAGCTTGGAGACCTCGTCCTACCTGAGAGTAGTACTCCATTAGAATGTCATCCATGGAAGTAGATCAAATCAAGATGGCCAGAGCCTCCGGGATATACCTCTTCTTGAATCGCATATAGTGGAGCTGTGTCCACATGCCTATACCCAGCCTGCAGCCAAGAACAAGGGAGCATGACGTTAATTTTGCTTGTGTAGATCACCACCACGATGCAGAAACAAGTTGGCCTGTGATTGTAATGGAAACATAGGAGAATGAAGAAGAGGGGGAAGAGATCAAGCACCTCGGTGATGGCAGTGTAGACCGAGTGGGAGGCTTCGGAGGAGGCGGACTTCCATGTCCCCAACCCCACGGAGGGGATGGAATGCCCGCTCACCAGCTTGATGTAGCGTAGATCCCCCTGCGCGCTCGGTGCATCGCACAATGCCTGCGACATCTCTTCCTCTTCTTCTTCTTCTTCTTCTTCTTCCTCTTCCCCCTTCACGCGAGCTGGTCTTCTTCCTCTAGCTCGCAGCCCTTCGCGGAGATGAAAGCGAGGTCCACCATGACTGTCCATTCTTATAGACGTCTGCATGGACGACACGTGTCCGTTGACTCACGCGTGTTGGATTCTCCTTGGTTCTCGGCCGAATGGATCCATATACGTCCTCCAAATATAAAGGGCAACTTTGTTGAAGATTTCGTCCTCTGAATTGGTCTGGAATCAACGATGTCTTCGGTGTCATGAATTATGTCAAGTATGGAAATTAGCGAGAGTAGATCTTCGTTGTTCGTCGTCATAACTTGGCTTCTTTCAGATGTGAAAAAGGATAGATCAACTTGTTGTCACATTAATCTACATTCTGTAATATACAATTCTTGAGCTTGAAAACAATTACTTAACTAATTAAAATTCAAGACACACTTCCCTTAGTAAATAATCCATCAACTTTAACCGTACGGAACGATACTGCATTTCTCATTTGGGCTTTGGTAATTGATGAGGATAGTAATTATGATAAGACTTGGTCGACGTCAGATGACGCCTCACGCAACAGCACCTGGTCAATGCTGATCGGAACGCCGTCCGAGGCGCATTAACATCCTGCCAAAGCTCAATTCTTCATGCCACGCCAACACAAAGTCAGACGCTACCAGCCTGCCCCCTGCAAGCGAGCAGCTCAGGAAGCAGTAAGCTTCCCTATAAATACCCTCTCGTTCATCAGAAAGAGGAGAAGGAGGGACAGACACACAAAAACACTTCTTCATCTGAAACCCCCTCCACATCTGCTGACTTGATCGTCGAAGGGGTCGGGCCGAGCACCCCGGCCCGACCTTTGTGCAGGTGCGAAGCCGAAGGTCCCCTCCGGACGCGCAGGCGAAGAGTTCCTGCCCGGAGGAGACGGCTACACCGTCCCGATCGGACACCGCACCCGATCGCCTCAACGGGCTCGAGGAACGCCCTAGGGAGGTCCCCGTCGTCTAGACCCGAACCGAGCCGCGTCGGCCCCGAGGCCACGACTCAAAGTTGTTTCCCACAACAGACTGGCACTAGAAGGAGGGCCCGGAATGCCGGGTGACCACCCGAGCGGCTCAGATGAGCCCACGGCTGAGAGGTCACGCTCGACCCAAGCCTCGGGGGAACCTCCCCCGCACGGAGACCATCATGACGAACACCCCGCCACGACCTCCGAACGATATTGGCGAATATTCAACGACCCGGGCTTGCCGCCGCCCGACGGTGCCCCAGCCGACTCAACGCCCGTGTCGTCCGAGGCCTTTCAGGACCTCGCTCTTCAAGTCCGAGCCCAGATGGAAATGGTGCAAACCATTATGCTGCTCATTTCTCATCCGGTGCACCCGCCTGCGATCGAACCACTGCGACAACGCAAGGCGCCCGTTCGGGCCCACATGACGCTTCCGGAGCCCCCCACTTCACCTCGGGTCTGACCGGCCCCACTCAGGGATCCAGTGATGGCAAACCCGAGCGGCCGCCCGGAACCCGAGGCACTCTCTTCGGACTCCTTGCGGGCCTAGTTGCGCTTCATCAGCCGGCGACTCGACGAGGTGCAGAAAGAGGTTCGCATGTCCAAGAGAGAGCTCGGGGAGGTCGCACACCAAGGGTCTCCCTTCACACCCGAGATACAGGATCTGACAGTCCCCCCGGACTTCCAGCTCCCCTCTCTGGACGCTTACAATGGCTCTGCCGACCCGGCGGACCACGTAGCCGCTTTTCGCGCCCAAATGGCGCTATACGGAATCTCTGATGCCCTGATATGCAGAGTGTTTCCTACCACTCTGAGAGGGCCGGCCCACGCGTGGTATGGCGGCTTGAAGACCGGAACGATTGCTTCCTTCGACCAGCTCGCCAATGACTTCGAGCTCCACTTTGTAGTCTATTCACGGCCAAGACCCTCCGCGGCACTGCTCCTCGGACTCAAACAAAGGGAGGACGAGCCCCTCTCACATTTTGTGGATCGCTTTGCCACGCAAATCCGGGGTTTGCCGGACACTCACCCTTCTCTGTTGGTGCAGGCGTTTATAATAGGCCTGCGACCTTCCAGATTCCTCTGGTCCCTCGTGGAGCGACCCCCCACCACGGTGCCAGAGATGCTCCAGCGAGCTAACCAGCACATCACGGTGGAGGCCTGGGTGACCGTGAGGAGAAGGGACGACATTCGGCAACATGCTCCATAAAAGGGGTCAAGCACCCGCGACGGCTATCCGATGTAGTCCTCGGGAAAAGAAATCTAAGCCCTGCCTCGATCTCTTCCGAGCGAAGGTTCAGTATCTACCTGACTACCTCCCGGCTCGCGGTGAGCCCCGGCCCAAATCCTTCTGAATCTACACGGCTCAGCCGAAGTTTGCTCGAGTCTACCTCAGCGCGCCCTACCCGCATAAGTCGTGTCCCTCGACCATGTTGCCCGAGACCACACCTACGCGACCTGTCCGCCTGCGTCGTGCTCCTCGGACGCGTGATGCCCGAGACCATGCCTGCGCGACCTGTCCGCCTGCGTCGTGCTCCTCGGTCGCGTGATTCCCAAGACCACACCTGCGCGGCCTGCCCGCCTGCGTCATACTCCTCGGCCGCATGACGCCCGAGACACACCTGCGCGGCCTGCCCACCTACGTCGTGCTCCTCGGCCCCATGCTCCCCGAGACACGCTTGCGCGGTCAGCCCACCTACGTCGTGCTCCTCGGCTCCATGCTCCCCGAGACACGCCTGCGCGGCCAGCCCGCCTGTGTCGTGCTCCTCGGCTCCATGCCCCGAGACACACCTGCGCGGCAAGCCCGCTTGCGTCGTGCTCCTCGGCTCCATGCTCCCCGAGACACGCCTGCGCGGCTAGTCCGCTTGCGTCGTGCTCCTTGGCTCCTTGGCCCCATGACCCGAGACACACCTGCGCGGCCAGCCCGCCTGTGTCGTGCTCCTCGGTTCCTCGGCCCCATGACCCGGACATACCTGCGCGGCCAGCCCGCCTGCGTCGTGCTCCTCGGCTCCACGCTCCCCGATACCGCGTCTGCGCGGCCAACCCACCTGTAAGTTGAACTCATGCCTCGGACTCCCGTTACAACGACCGACGCATAGCTTCTTTCCGGGGGGGAATATGATGAGGATAGTAATTATGATAAGACTCGGCTAACGTTAGATGACGCCTCACGCAACAACACCTTGTCAATGCTGACCGGAACGCCGTCCGAGGCGCATTAACATCCTGCCAAAGCTCAATTCTTCACGCCACGCCAACACAAAGTCAGACGCTACCAGCCTGCCCCCTGCAAGCGGGCAGCTCAGGAAGCAGTAAGCTTCTCTATAAATACCCTCTCGTTCATCAGAAAGAGGAGGGACAGACACACAAAAACACTTCTTCATCTGAAACCCCCTCCACATCTGCTGACTTGATCGTCGGAGGGGTCGGGTCGAGCACCCCGGCCTGACCTTTGTGCAGGTGCGAAGCCGAAGGTCCCCTCCGGACGCGCAGACGAGGAGTTCCTGCCCGGAAGAGACGGCTACACCGTCCCGATCGGACACCGCACCCAACCGCCTCAACGGGCTCGAGGAACGCCCCAGGGAGGTCCCTATCGTCCGGACCCGAACCGAGCCGCGTCGGCCCCGAGGCCACAGCTCAAAGTTGTTTCCCACAACAGTAATGATAAAAGGATATATTCGCTTGACATGTAATCTTCGACCATACAGAAGAATCAAAATGAATCTTGCCATGAGATGCATCCGACTCGAATCATCTTACATGAAGAGGGATATTGGGGTCTAGTTTCTTTGCATATTTGCACATTTGAGCATCACCAACAGTGTGTAGATCTCGAGCCTACAATGTCGAGTTGATCCACCAACAACGATAATGATTGGCTTGATAGTCGAATTGCATGACCCAATAAAAAAATCCCTACTTAATTTTATTAAGGTATTTTATGTTACCAACTTAATCTTTACAACAATATAAAAGTATAAAGTTTTTTTATCTAAATTTTATTTAGTCCACCAAGTTCATGTTTTTCAATTAAATATAATTTTCCCTCTCTATCCAATTTTGTTCTTTAGAATTTTTTTTAATATTTAGTAGACGGGGTTAGAAATTTTGTTCTTTCACCGTATTACATTCTATTCAGTAGTGTAGAGAGAGATTTTTCTCTTTTTTTTTGTCCCCATTGTTCCTCCTGTTGCTATCAATTCTTAGATATGGTGCCCACATAAAGTAACGTATGTACTCTTCTACATGATAAAAAAACAAAAATAAAAATATTGTAATAATAATATTATTATTATTAGCAAATCAAATTTTAAGATTAATTTTTTTATAAATAAATTCTCGAAAAAAAGATTAATTATTATTATCCTATTGAAAAAATTATTTTGTCCTTGTTTCCATTGGACTTGTCGTCGCCCTCCGTCGACCCATCCCTGCACGCTTTGCACAAGAAAGAAGAAGGCACAAGAACTATTATCACCACTCACACCCCTCGCGTGATATAGCTCTTGCTGTTGCCACCTGCAACCCTCGCAAGATAGCTTGTCATTATCGCCACCCACAACCCTAGACTCAATCTTGACCTCCTTGTTGATCGGCTCTCATCATGTTACTCGTAAGCCTCACGTGAGAAAGGAGGAGGCTCAAGGATTGTTGCCACCTCCACGAACCTCACTAGCACCCATCAAACTGGTTATTGTCTTCGAGTACACAAGAAAATTCGATAAAGATCAACAGAGTCTATGAAGACGGTAATATGAACGATTCTCGTACCCTCTCTTTTCATGCAAGCACAACGAGACTGATGTAAGATGGGCGATGCAAAGCAAAAGTGATGACAAGTTCGAGGGTAAAAAAGTTATTTATAAAAAATCTGTAATTTTTTTTAAATTGGTAGGCTATGCAAAAAAAAAATTCAAAATTAAGATTTTTTTACCTCGAATTCGTCTGTTTTTTATTAGAATAACAGTAGATAAATGGAGACAAAGCTCACTTTCGGAGAATTAATATCAGTCTTCTTTTTTGACCAGCTTTTTCTTTTGACCCACATGTAACCCTCCTTTGTTGCTGGATTCAATCCTGAGCAAGGTCC